AAAAGGTAGCCAGTGTAAAAGGGCAGAGAAAAACAGAAAGGAAAGGCCCAACAAACGAAATTGAGAACGGTTAATGGCTTATGCGCATGCCCGTAATTGAAGTTTTGCTCAATTTTGTACCTAATCCTCAAAAAATCTCTCCTTTTAGTATAAAAAAGCTTTTTTAGCAAAACGTAGGCTTATTTAGCATCATGGTAGCTAAAAAACCTGAGTAAACGGTTAAAACCGGTATTTTTTGGCGAAAGTTTGGTATCCAAAGGGTTAATGAGCTGAGTGAACAGAACACCCATAGCACAAAACTCTACCATGCCACGTTATCAAAGCGGAGCTCCTGCACGCCGAAGGCGCGTGAATGAGACCCCATTGCTTAGAAAATTTGGTAACCCATCGAGCTAAAAAGTTTTGGCAGTCATGTGATTGTTTGTCCATACGTATGCCCCTTCATGTAAAAAGTCGCGAAATGTCACTCTGCAACAGCCCCATTCCCAAAGTTTTTCTCTTAAAGATTGGAAGAGGCTGAATTCCAATGCACGTCTTTGCTATTGGGCATCCATGCTATTTCCTATTAACACCTGCCAAAACAAGGTATGTGCTGACCAGTATCACATGACCATACTGCAGACTCATGTTTACAGCTTGAGGTCATGTCTATTTTGAAGTTGACAGCTTCCGAGGTACAGGTTATCAATTGGATCGTGGGCTTAGCCAGGTTAACTTATTGCAATCAGGAGCTCCGCTGTTGGGTTAGTTATATCTATATATTAATGCTGCTGTATTAGCAATAAAATCGTATGACCCTCTCCAAAGCTTTCATTTTCTAACAGAGTACATTAATTTTAGTACATAATCATGACAACGAGTAAACCTGGCTTGAGCCCGCAATACAATCAACAACCAACACTTGGTCAACTGTCAACTTCAAAAAACACCTGAGAAGTGAGAATTCATAATCATGACAAGTAAACCTGGTTTGAGCCTGCGATACAATCAACCCTTGGTCAACAGTCAACTTCAAAAAACACCCGAGAAGCGAGAATTCTCTCAATTATAGCAAAACGTATATTAGCCACTGTTGATGCACCTCACCTGCCACACAAGCGGTCATGAAGCATGCTACAGTCCCAGCTATAAGGGCCCTCATAGCAATCCTGGACATGTCAGGGATGCGGCTGGGGGCCATGGGTCCCATGCCGCCAAGCATAACCCCCATTGACCCCATATTGGCAAACCCACAAAGGGCATAAGTTGTTATAATTTCAGAACGGATCTGTTGGATGATATAAAGAACATGCAAGTCACATCTCACCTGCAATGCAAGCAGTCATGAAGCAGGCAATTGTACCTGCAACCAGTGCACGAAATGCAACAGTGGCCATGTCTTGTCTTCGTGATGGTGCAAGAGGAGCCATTCCTCCAATTTGAATACCGATCGAGCTGAAGTTGGCAAAGCCACATAACGCATATGTGGTTATAATCTCTGAGCGAATCTGTTAGGAAACAGGTAATAGGAAGGGAGAGAGTGCTGTGAAGCTGGTACATGTTACTAGGAAGATTAGGACACAATTCAACAGGACAATAAGAGGTTGTTAGTATAATAGTACGAGATCAGCAAAAGGGAAATTACCCGGAGAAAAAATCAGAGAATTAGAATCACACGGAAAAAGGTAAGAGTGACTGTGAGACGAAAGAAAGAAACTTTAAAGGTAGCACGATTGATGTAATTCTTAATATACAAGTAAAACAGCCACTATTAAACATTAGGTGCAAACTATGACTACACAAATATGTAAACTATATCAAGATTAATAGACTAATCAAAGACACGTGCAAACTACCAGTATTAAGATGAATGCAAACTATATTAAGACTAATGAAAACTATGTTAAGGCAAGTGTAAACTGTATCAAGACGAATGCAGTATATTAAAATGAATGAAAGCTACAATCAGGAGAGAGAAAACTATATTACATTGAATGAAAACTATATAAGAATGGGTGCAACTAATAGTAACTTATGAAAAGTAAGCTCTTAAGATTGCAAACCAGCTGTACAAACATTAATGAAAACTATATAAGGATGAGTGCAAGTTAAAGGAAAGTTAAAACTACAACTGAGGACTACATTGCCACGAATGAAAACTCCACATCGAAATAACTGTTGAAGATTTTGTTGCTGAGAAATCCGCTAAAATATGATATCAAAGTGCACTCTAAATAAGTGCATTGTTACGAGTTAAATTAAGCTGAGTGATCACCGAGTTCAGGTTAACCGGATTTATCTACCCTAACCCTAAAGCATAAATTTAGAACGTTAAAAGATGTTGAAAAAGATGTTAAGGTGTTAAAACAAGTTAAAGTCCTGAGAAATATGTGGTGTTATTTACTGGATTGAAGTATGTGGAAGGCGATATTAATTTTGCAACTATATAAAAAGCCAAATGATTAACGTCAGGGATTTTAAAACGACGCATCTCTGTAGTTCATGGTTGGCATGGATGGTGGTTTACATGTTTACAAGAGCCATATGCTTCAGCAAGAAACCGGGAAATGTTAAGTTTATGCAAAGAACTCAAAAAGTTTAATACTATATTTGCCAGAGTGTTTTAGATACTACAATTGTCCAAATATTGAGAAATGTTACCATATATCAGAAACAAATTACAAAACAAAATGTTACTTTCAGTTTGTAAGTTCGCATAATTTACATTATTTAAGACTTAACAGGGTTTGCCAGCAAGGTTTAGGTGGTGTTGTTGAAAAAGGAATTCCAAGGGCAGAGTTAGTTTAAATAAAGAAAATGCTACAGAAATAATTCTCAAGTTATCAGTAAAAGAAAATAAAAACCAAGTCAAAGGACACTTTAACATGGTCAGTAGCGACTGTTGATTACCAAAACGCAGGGTACAAGTTTCATACAGTTAAACATGATTAATCTTTACTATATTTCCCAACAGTGGAAAAATAATGTAGTTTTGTTGGGGCAATAGGATTATTTGTTAATGGGCCAAAACATAAAAGCCCTTCAGTTTAATAACAGTTATATTCGAGGGAGAGTTCATCTTAATGGTTATATAGCACTGAATATTGCAGATCTGTTACATGAATGATGCATTTTAAGTAAGGTATAATAAGATCTTGAATATTTTACTGAATATGCCTCACAGGAATAAGTTATCAATTCTTATGCTGAATGCACAGAATCAAGTTTTAATAATAAACAAGATATTAGAAGATAATCGACCTATAAATATAATTATTAAAACATGGAATTAATGAAATTAATGAATTATCATGCCAACTAAACACTGTTTGTACTCATTTCCTACCGTATTGGGTATTTCTTTGCAGCCTTAAAAATGATTTAATATTTAAAATGTACTTATTGTAATAACAAATTATTTACTTAATATTTGTTTCATGACTAATTTACTTAAGATTTGAGGTAACAAAAGATTATTCTTTAATATTTATTTACTTGACATTTATTTATTTACTATCTTAAAATCGTGTTTATGTGTTTCTTCAGTTACTGATAGATTAATTGATCAATTGATCTATTGACTGATTGATCAACCAACTGATTGGATGACTCGTTTCTTTCTTTTATAAATTAAACCTTAAGAATACTATAACATTATGCATACATGTAGCTCAGTTTAGACAGGTTGGTTAGGGATTACTGTAGTTATTATTTTTTGTAAACAGTTCTAGTTTAAACTGTAATTAGCTAGGAATTGTAATTAGTTAGAAATTTTTATTTTATACATGAACACACCAGCTCTGCTGTAATTTTTAATTCTGTTTAAATGAATGCTGTTATTATCATTTTCATTCTCATTCTCATTCTCATTCTCATCATACAACATTAGTTATGATTTGACATTTTAAGAATCATATTGAATCCTTTAGTCATGAGATGTTAATTTTTTCTTTTCACTGGGAAATAATCTTGTTGCATATGAAATAGAGAACGTTATCAGAACATTCCGTATTTGTAACCCAGAAGTATGTTTTATAATTTGTGTTAGATGCATCACATTTAGCATTGTGAACATCACTACTTGTACACGTAGATAACCAAATATCTTTAAGATCATTGCTCAGTATTTTTAAGTCAAAGGTTTATGTAAAACATTAGAGTTACATCATGGGTGGACTTGGAAATAAATGCTTAATTTGTAGTTGTTAAATCTTTTACAGTTAATTATTGCACATCTTAGATATGAAACAGAGAAACTTTTCTAGAATGTAGCAGTAACAGCTTAAAATGTTTTGTGTTCAGTTGTGTAAAGGGTTACATTTTAACCAATTTATATCAAACGAGATTGAAGAGAAATAAGATTGGCAAGTCAAAGGTTTTGTTATGATTTGCGAGTTAAGATTTAGAGTTATGTTTAAGGTGGAATAGACATAATTAGACAGAATGTTACTGTTTAAAATATTCCATCTCTAAAATTAGAACTTTTCTTACGTTGAAAGAGACAGAACTCCCACAACATGTGAGTCTTTGCAGGATTTAAGNGGTTTTCTTGATTATTTGCCTACAGTGTAGCTTCCTTCATTTATTATTGTCGTAATCATTTTCTATTTGCTTTTCATTTTTCCTAGTCAAACTTGTATTCGTGCAAACAAATAAAGTCGAAGGATGTTTGAAGTTCAGTACCAGTTTGGTTTCCACTTGATTAATACTATGGCAAAACAGCGATAACAATCAAAACATGACAAAAAATAAATTCATTGAATGGCAAAACCACAACTGTTTGATTCAGTTTTGCATTTAAGATTCAAATGTACAAACAATCTAACAAGGGCTTTCAGAAATTCTATTATCAGCAAATGCCACGGAGCAAAAAGAACACTCAAATCACTCACCCTTTCGGCAGATTAATGTCTCCCTCATTTAAAGTCTCTGGTATTTCTGTCTCAGGATACATAAGCTTTGATATCGCCAATGCAGCTGGTGCAGACATCACAGAAGCACTCAACAAATGGGAAGCAGACACACCAAACTCAATGTATGCTGCTAACACACTCCCAGCAATGGTGGCAAATCCTCCAGTCATAATTGCATGAAGTTCTGACATTGTCACATGCTCAAGGAATGGTCTTACCATGAGTGGTGCTTCAGTCTGTTCAAATAACAAGCTTTATTTAGCACATTAACAACTCCTTAGCTTACTCTTGGTAAAGATTGATGGCAATAGTGATTTACATGTACGTGACAGGGTTTAGTGAGGTGCTCATTTTCCCGCAATAGAATCATACCTATGTCACTCAAGAAGAGAGTACGATACAGTACAAGTACAATTCCATTAAAGAGCCCCTTCTCCCTCAACAAAACAACTGTTCTCATACAAAGCTGCCATCTATTCTCTATGTATGTACCTGTCCAATGAAGATGTTGCCAGCAGCATTTAAACTCTCCACACCACTTGTCTTCATGGTAATCTGCATGAGCCATGCAATCTTCTTAATTATCAGCTGCATGATACCAACATAGTAACAGAGGGAGATGACCGAACTGAAGAAAATGATGATTGGGAGAACCTGAAACGTCAAGCACAAGATCACATGAGGTAATAATATCATTGACATCTAGGACAAAATTAATAACTGTCACTGCAAAGTAACCTGAAGTATTTTGTCTCAAATTTTAAACCCAAGGAATTCATAATTGTGATAGTGTTTGTGTATCTCGTGTTAAAAGACTATTACTTTAGCAGAGATTTTTATTTCTCCTAAGTTTTAAATGATGGGATATATCAAACACTCGAGACAGTGTTTTACCACAATTTTAAACCGAATACTGTCCACTTTACTCTGTGGAATCTGATGACTGAGCAATGAGCCTGCAGTCTGCTCGAGCTGTACATGCTTTGCAGAAAGAAAAATTTGCCATGTTAAAACTGTTATCTTCACTTGCTTCAGAACTTGTTGCAATGCAGTCCGCTGTGATTTTGATCGTTAGTTCCATTGATAATAGTTTGTTATTTCCGATAGCAATTTTACTTGTGATAACACAGTAATTGTTTTAACACAACCCTTACTCATTAAAACACCACATAATTATGTGAATGAGCATTCAATTCCTGTGAACTAAAATTGGCCTTAAAGGTATAAGCTTCATTTTCCTGAAATTTCTATTCATCCCTGTAGTTCAAATCTTAAGTGAGGATTACAATTTAGCATTAATGGCTCTGTACCTTGAAAGCAAAGAAATGCTCAGTGTAATTTTCTCCAAATACAAAGGATGCTCCTGCACTGGTGTACNAGAATTAAACCTGTGTTAGCAACTGAGGGCAAATAAACAGTGCTAATTAAAGAGCAGCATAACTGGGCCAGGTAGTTGATAAGCTGATTAACACTATTCTAGGATTAAAATTTAATTGAGCTTTTGATTTCTCTTGAATAAAATTATTTCCATTGGCAATGTTTCATGAAGGCTGCTTTTCACTAGCACACAAGCATAAGCAACATACCACATTTTAAGATGGCTCTGAACCCCACATACAGAATTTCTTTGAACTTTGCAAAAAGTTGTATATAATTCAGCTTATCAAAATTCAGTATTAACGAATGGGGGTTACCAAGCTTGTTTTTGATTTATTAACAGTTAAAGCTAAAATTAAAGGTGCTTTAAGCAGGTTATTCCATTGGTATGGTTACCTATGGTTTATGGACCTTTTCGGCAATATGGTGGCCATTTTGAATTCTGTTGTTTCAAATAGCTATTATGGAATGCTCAGGGGCAGATTAGTACATGTATGTATTCGCTCCCTGAACATCCCCTATCACCCCTATGAGACACGCCTGCAGGGAATCATGGTAGTTGTATTCATCTTCTTGAACTGGGCATTTGTTTTGATGAATAAAACTACCATGATTTCCTGCAGGCACATCTCATAAAGCAAGCCTGCAAATAACAGTCAGTCATCAGACAATTGTCCAGTAAATTTGAGGTTTTGACAGGTAAAAGCTTAGCCTGGTCAGACACTCTAACCAGGCTTTCTGCTAAATAAAAAATATTTTAACTGAAAATTTGTGGCTGAACATGGAACAAGTTATTTTATTATATTGCCAAACAATACTAGGCAAAAAATCTTTGTTATCAGTTTTGTTTTTATTCCATTTCTGAGAAACAATATTATCACATGCAATGTGTCGTCTCAAATGTCACATCGAATTGTAAACAAGCCACATCAGCGCCATTATTCAGGCTGTGTTTATCTACGCATTTTGCAGTAGTGTCATGAAAGATCGTGGAGCCCCATTTAGTCTGAATTACATTTGTCTGACAAAACACTAAAATCCGAGGTCTTAGGTTGTTACTTGTCATTTGCTATCTGCAAGTGTTGTAGAATCAATTTTCAGTCGTAATTTGGCCCGATTAAAATATTATGCAAACTGGATACACGGACCAAATTTTTGTTTATCAAATTATCACTTTCAAAAACTTTACAACCTCTAAAACGTAACCAAATGTTTTTCTAGTAAGTATCATCAAAAATCAGTTTTATACCTCTTTCAAGTTTTTTTACCTCTGTGGTTCAACATAGTTTGAATTGGTTTACGTACCACAGACAAGTTTTTGTGAAAAGTGTAAAATAATGTAATTAGTCATGCTTTCTAGTCACGACCACTTCCAATTCAAATTTCATCTTATTACCCAAATTTTTTATTCAATTGACCCCAAAAATTTTCAGAAAAATTCGAATAATTCTTTTCAGCCAATTTTCAAGTCTCTGAATATTACTGTGAGTTTTTATACTGACAAGCTGACCATGTGGGATTCCCCATGGTTTTCCTTAGACGTTGTGGAAAACTTGATCCGCGGGAAAATACAGAATACACATGTGATCAAGTGAGTGAAGGCAAACTAGGGGTAGAAACGTTTGTAAATTTGTCAATTTTTAACGGGTAAAATACTGTAATACCTGAATTATTGTAAATGTTCCCTTTCTGGTGCTAGTATCGATTTTATACTCAGTTGATTTTACTTTTAAGTCATTCAAATTTGCAACTGACATTTTGGTAAAGGGTCCACACTCAAATACCAAAGTGTCTCAAATGTCCCTTATTTTAAATTTCTAATGACAAAAAAAAATTGTCCAACCAGACTGGCTTTTTGTCAGGTCAAAACTTGTCCTTGGCCTGACAAATGACCTCCTTATAGACAAAAATTATTTTCTGGCTTGTAAAGGGAATAATTTAGCCATTGTGCCACAAAATAAATAACATGTTCACCATGTATAAGTAGCTATTAACACTGTATTAACGTTTTAGCAGAGTCAGTGTTAAACACAACTTTGAATGTGTTCAACTGACGTTCACCAATGATTGAGCATTTTTTATGACATCAACTGGTAAGGAGTGGTTATAGATCAGTGCCTCATAAAAAATCTCTGTGAAACTGCTTTGAGCCTAGCTTACATACTACATTTTAGTTCGGTACTGTTTGTTCTTTCTCGCTGGTGTGTTATCGAAGATATTTTTACTGTTCTTGAAACATGCCGATTTTTTTTGTTATCACGTTTGCAGGCAAGGCGAGAAGCGTTGACAATGTTTGCTAATCCGCTGCGCGCGGCCATGCGGAAAACCGCACGCAAACAAACAGCAGATCAAGCTTCCCATCTGGCAATGGCTAATATTCACAGGGGTTTGTTGTATTTTTATTTTTCCGAGACGAAACGCATTTCATGTTCAGTTGAATTGACCCTTCAGTAGGTGAGTGCCTGTTCACTCCTTACACTCACAGGGGTTTGTTGTATTCTAAAGTAGTTGAGTGCCTGTTCGTTCTACGTCGGCGCCCGGGTTGCACAATTTAATTATCTGTGAATCACTCTGCAGTTTGACAAGTAAAAGCTTTCAAAACCACGCAAAACGTCGCCTACGATATGATAGAGGCAGTCGAAAAACAGTGTTGTTAAGTACTAGAATGAGAAGGCTGCATTCCTGAAATTTGAAACTAAACGCATAAATAAGCAAGTACAATACAGGCGAACTATTGCAGGGCTCAACATTGTTAATTACTGCGAAATGAAAATGCTCTTAGTTTTGGCAAAATTTCACACTAGCACTGTTTGTGGGTAAAACGGAAACACGCCGCAAAGCCAGCTACCTCAGAATACTCGCGCGAAGAAGCAAAACGGAACACAATCGTAGAAACTGGAGGCGGTCAGAGAGACCGGATGGTATTCTCTAACCGCTTTAGAGTTCTCGGGCCTAAATGCAAATATTCGATACCAGAAATTGGCAATATCTACTCACCGATGTCATGCTTGTTGGCGTGATGCTTAAAACGAACTCAGAACAAATTTTAAAACAGTTACTCCGGCCAAGCACGTGCTTTGGCTATGTGCGTAGTAGCCTCGAAGAACATCAAGCGTGAAGCCTACGCTTGCTGACGTCACGGCTGTTAACTTTCATTCAATGGCGCACTTACGAGACAAAAAGTTTTCAAAAAAATCATAGAAAATATAGCGATCCTAAGAGGCTTCAAAACCTTACTGGCTGACACAGCCAAGTTGAAATTAAGAGATCAAACGCTTAGCTGAGAATTTATGGCCTGTTTTAGACTGTTTTAGAACACGTGTTAGGTTCGTACACGTGCACTCCGCGTGTTCGAACACAAACAACAGTAAAATCAGAAATTGGACATCAAAATCAATGAATGAAACGGTGTAGGGTTTACAACTAGACGTACCATCATTGAATTTTCATCCTCCACATCACCATCGCATAGGGCGCTTCGTAATCCATCGACTATACAGCCACTGTCTTCGAGATTTGGCGCCTTTTTCGTGTCGGGGCTTTCCATTGTTGATCGCTGATCGAAGGAGTCTTCCAAATTAACTAGGTTAGAACTACGGAGAGAAAAGAAGGAGTTTAATATAAATACAAGCCTGCTACTTTCACTTTTTAACTGAAGAAAACTCATATTTTGCTTTGTTGCCTGGAAAACTGAATTTTCACGAAAGCACGAATTGGCGCGCAACTCGCCATTTGGCGCCAACAAACGTAAAACATCGTATGAGCGCAATTTCACTTAACACAAATTACTGAAATCCTCAGAGTTCAGACCAGATAAAACAGTGAAAGTAACTTACAGTTGAAGTGCAGGGTAGAGGCAGAAATAGAGGAACGAAATAATGACCGAAAGGAGTTGAAACGGAAGGTTGCTATCGATCAGACGAGTGACGTGAACAGTGAAATCAGGTACGTGGGAAGGTACATTTGAAAGCATAATGTTTCCGCGGGAAGTTTGATTAGCCAATTAGAATGCACTTAAAGCAGCACGTGCCGTATGGAACCAATCAGAAGTCAACAGCGACAGAAAATTTACACCCCGTCAATCAACTTGGTAAATGGTAATCAATGCTAAGAAGTCAGAGACAACGATACACAATGCTCCAAGTTCAGACTTTGACAGCATCCATCTGTCTGGTAGATCGAGGTATAACTATATTAACTAGGTATACAATCATACAATGATACACTAAGGTGGCTTATATTAAGGAATCTTGTATTCTGTTTTAAGCTGTCCTCAAATTCATTGGATTGACTTGTTCAATGTAAAGTAATTTGGAATTTGTATTGAAGATTAAAGAATGGTTACGTGACCTGCTTCACAAAATCCTGAAATTCGATGAGAGGAATATTGAACAGACTAATGCAGAATTGGCATCCGAGTTACTCGAACTCTTCAATGTTGTTTTGCATATAATTATGGTTAAATTAGTCTACAGGCAAGAATTTCTCCCACCTGGACAGAAACAGTATACCGATAGCCTGTTGCCGTCTTTAAAGGAAGCTGAAACTTCAGCATAGCAGTTTAACGCGGGGGAAAGAGAATTTTCGAATATTATTTCACGCGATTATAAATATATTTCATTCCTGTTGAAACTAAAGAATGTCAACAAGCCAAAGGGTACTAGACTGTACTAGAGTTTCCGGTAAGTGGTTTAACCTTGACAACTCTTACGAAAAAGGTTTGTTATAAATCATTACCTGAGTACATCAACCACGACCATATGTCCTTTTCTAAATGGATTAATGCTAATTTCCAAATACCAAGAAAAAAAAGGTGCTAAACAGTCTGCCCATATTTTGTACAGATGCCTATGGTTGGCCATTCGTTTCAAAATTACAACAGGGTATACGCGGGCTTTTCTGCCGCGTATACTTGTTTACATACGCTACGTATGGGCTTTAAGCCCATATATACGACCATTTAGATCGCGTATATACGCATTTTTAAATGGCCACATATTTGCGTAAACTCAAGCGCGGGGATACGCGAAATAAATGCCCAAATATACGCGTCCTACAAGGACCCATATATACGCGAGCTAAAATGCGTAAACTCAAGCGCGGGTCTCGTAAATTACGTTGTATATGCAGCACAAAATGTGTCTTTTGCGAGAATGGCTGTTCGTGTATGATGGCAATGAAAATTACTTTA